TGAACTCCACTATTTATGGTCTGATTTCTTTCATTTTTGGTGTACGTTAAGAAGTATCTTTCCATCATTCATTGCCCAAGTTTGAATAAGATAACCCAACAAACAACTGAGAAAATAATAATATAATATCTTTATTTACTACACATACATGTACAAGGTATACAAGCCTAGCTGACATCAGTGACATACTACTACAGTGGACCCCCGGTTCGCGATACTAATCCGTTCCTGAGAGCTCATCGTAAACCAAAAATATCGGAAAGCGAATCAATTTTCCCCATAAGAAATAATGGAAATCAAATTAATCCGTGCAAGACACCCAAAAGTATGAAAAAAAACTTTTACCACATGAAATATTAAGTTTAATGCAATAGAATAGTAATTACAATAACAACAATAACAATAAATAACAATAAATAACAAAAAAACGAAAGAATAATTGACACTTACCTTTAATGAAGATCTGTGATGATTGATGGGATGGAGGGGGGGGGAGTGGATGGTGTTAGCATTTAGAAGGGATTCCCCCTCCATTAGGACTTGAGGTAGCAAGTCCTTTTCTGGGGGTTCTTCCCTTCTTCTTTTAATGCCACTAGGACCAGGTTTAGAGTCACTGGACTTCTGTCGCACAACATAACTGGCAGCCTCACCATGCCTAATCACACTATGTATAACCACTACGATTCTTAAATTCTTTCAAACCAACCTTGCTGCCTTAAATTTTACCACATCACCACTAGTTGCAGGCCATTTTTTTACCAAATCGTCATGTAACTACCTAGCCTTTTCACAAATGATTGCTTGAGAGATGCTATCTCCTGCTATCTGTTTTTTCATTATCCACACCAAACACTCTCTCAACATTTTCTAAAACTTGCGGTCCCCTGTTTCGTAACACAGTTGCACCTTTTGCAAGAACAGCTTCCTTGATTGCGGTTTTCTTGCTCACTATAGTAAGATGGTTGATTGGGGTTTACTATACAACCTGACCAGCTCCGACACACGCACTCCACTTTCGTTACTTTGCAATTATCTCTTTCTTCATTTCAACAGTCATTAGCCCCCTTTTGGTCCGAAGGGTTTGGCACTGGGAGTTTTCCCTTGGGGCCCATGGTGACTTATTTTGCAAAAACAAGGCACCAAAAACAGTGATAATAGGGGATAAATGGAATGTACCGAATGTATCCTTAGATGCGCACACTGGCTGGCTTGTAAACACTGGCACACACGGGGCAGTTCAGGCCACACATGGACACGTCTCGTAGGAACCACATCGCATACCAGGTTTTGTATCGGGAAGCGAGGCAAATTTTCTGCGATATAATGCATCGGTTACCGGATTTATCGGATACTGATAGCATCACGAACCGGGGGTCCACTGTATATAGAAAGTCGCTTGTTATGCAGAGTAATTCAAGAAAATTAGGTCAGTGTCCCAGGATAACACCCACACTAGTCGGCTAACACATGGTACCCATTTACTGATGGGTAAACATAGACAACAGGTGTAAAGAAACACTCCTAATGTTTCTACCCTGGCTGGGAATCGAATATTTACCAAAAATCATATATGGCTAACCCAAGCCAGGTACTAGAAATAAGCCATGTTGACTTTTTTGGGTTATCCTAGGTTCTCTACACATATGCTGCTATGTGTGATAATCTACATAGAGAAAATAACTTTTTTGTTTCAGGTTTATGGTGCAGTACGAGTGTATATCACAGTTAGCCCTGTGCAATACTACTACGTTTTCTCTAATATAAGCCCCAAGACAGGGATAGGAGAATGGTATTTGTATACCATATCCTCTTCATACCTCCATCGAACTGCTCGGTATTATGCCAAATATTATTTATTCTGGAGTATATTTAACATTTTTTATGTTATTTATATTGTTTATTATGTCATATTAGATCAATTGTGATAGGCAAATAAGTTGTAGTGTTGATATTAGCGTAATAATAAAGCATATTCTCCTGCATCATGAGACTGAGCTCATGACAACCGACAGTGGCTTCAAAGCCACCTTATCTTTAATGGATAATGTACTGTGTAGGTGCTTTACATAATGAGAAGCATTTCTTTTATTCATTGGAACCATGGCTAGGGCTAAAAGTAAGCAGGTTAAAACAATAAATGGAGAAAAAGAAATTGGAATGACTTATGCAGCAAGTAGCGCTACCAAACAGTACCAGCAGGTTGGTGTGGTGACCCTGGAAATTTGAAATTATGCTAGCCAAAATTAGTGCCGAATAACTGAAGGAACCGAATAACTGATTGCCGGATTTGTGATGGCGGACCTGTACTGTATATATGACCGAAACGGTCAGAGGGTTGAAATATGTTTAGCTCATAAAATGCTTGAAGTGACCTCCACTCTAATTGTAGTTCTGAAACATAATATAGCATAAAATAATTATGATACCTTGTACCATACTGCATGTCAGTGTCATGTCTTATTTTTTTTGGTTGTTGTTGTGCATGTGTATGTACCTTTTTTATGCAAAATTTACAGTATGCAAATAGACTGTAAAACTTAACAAATTGAACTGACTTATCAATGTATAAATTCCAAAAATAAAACAATAAGCCAGAGTTGTAAATCTTGTTAAAGTAGCCTCATGATATAAAGATATGCTTCTCTCTGGCTGAGAAGTCTTACACTAGGAACCAAAACATTGTCATCATTAAAGGTAAAGTGAGCTGCTAAATGTTTCCATTTAAAACAGTATCTATTATAATATACACATCTAAGGGGGAGAAGTAGATGTTGGTGAAGGACACTTGATCCAAGGAATTGGAGCTTTACTTATTTGGATTAAGCATGATTACTTGTGTCTCCATGACTTCAAGTTTAGCACTTCTCACAAATGTAATACTAAAATAATACAGTTTAGGATTTACTTTTATTTGCAAAAAGAATTACTATACATCTCTTAACCTTTTTAGGGTCGGTACGTGTACGGCTTGAAATCCAGGGTCGGTCCCATACTTATACACCAAAATTCTAGCGCCTTCAAATTGAGTGGGAGAAAGCTGGTAGGCCTACATATGAAAGACTGGGTCAGCGTGGTCAATGTGCGCAATATAAAAAAAAATCCTGCAGCATGCAGTGCGTAATGAGAAAAAACTCCGACCTTGTATTTTGTTTAAAACAGAGACTTTGCAGTGTATTTTTGTATGGTGTTGATTGTTGTATTCTTCTTTCTTGGTCTCATTTGATAGAAGGGAAGATAAAATACAGAAATAGAGATGGTTTTGATTGGTTTCACAATGAGAAGTACCTTGGAATTGAGTTCAAAGTAGCAGAAATGTTTGATATTTGCTGATGTTCAATAGTAAACAAATCACGCCACGCGTCCAATACATGTCAACTGGCAAGTCTGATATTCTTTCTCAAGTGTGCTGATATTATTTATACTATTCTTACAATAATGCAGTAGTCTGCATAACAGTACATCTCCTTTTTTTGTGAGAATAAAAATTCAAAATGGAAAGCAAGAGTAATATAAGAGGGACCTGGAGATGTGACTAATGAACAGAGAAAATGTTATTTTAGTGCCAGGAATGTCTGTCTTGTTTATTCTGGATCATATTTTGAAATTGGCATCTTTTGAAATTTGGTTGAAATTGACCAAATTGCCAATTTCTGACCATTTAATTGGGTAGTTAAAATTGGTAAATGGGCGGTTTCTTGTACTCAATCGATAGAACAAATGAAGTTCTAGCAAAATAGGTGTGATTTTATTCGACTGGAACAATGGAATTGGCTGAAAATAGGGCTCAGAGTGGGTGAAATCGCCAATGCGTAAATACAGTGGACCCCCGGTTAACGATATTTTTTCACTCCATAAGTATGTTCAGGTGCCAGTACTGACCGAATTTATTCCCATAAGGAATATTGTGAAGTAGATTAGTCCATTTCAGACCCCCAAACATACACGTACAAACGCACTTACATAAATACACTTACATAATTGGTCGCATTCGGAGGTAATCGTTATGCGGGGGTCCACTGTATTGTCGATATTGTTAACTTCACGAGAGTGTAATTTCGTAAGTTTTCCATCAACATTCATACTTTTGGTGTCATTACCATCGGGAAAAGATTCTCTCATTTCATAATTTTTTTTTTCGACCTTGAGAGTGAGTTAAGGATCAGTGTTCTCGACTCTCAATGGGTTGATTATGGAACTTTACTGAATGTATAAGATGCTACAATTTATATACCTTCATATGTCAAATATTTGTATGGCAAATTAAAACATCAACTCTGCCATAAATGTGAGCTGTCCAGTGTCGCCACTTGCTCCATTATTTCTTGCATTACAGTATTGTGCAATTGTGCATACAGTTAATATTGAAAATAAATTTGCACTTGGTAATTTTATAACTTAAGATATTGTGTGAAAGATTCAGTAATGTGTACCACAATCACCAGCATGAAGAAAAGCTCCAAAATTTTATTGCTGATTGTCTCACTTGGAACTGTAATAACAGAAAAATGAGTCTTATGGTTAATTGGTGATATGTAGATTAAAATAAAATCTTGTGTTAAACTGGAGTTTTTCTTTATAATGAGAATGGATGAATGAGGTATATCTGTATTTGGTAGGTAAGAGTTTTATGCAACATTACTACTTTTAATTGTTAACCCTTAAATGGTCCAAATGTATATATACGTTTTTTCAACATCTGAAAGTATGTAAAAAAAATGTAGATCTTTTTTTTTTTGTTTTACATTTGAAAACGTGTAAAAAAAACTTTTATCTACATTTTTTTTTGTTATATTTGAAAATATGTAAAAAAAAGTAGATCTACTTTTGTAGCACTACGAATTTGAACGTCGATCTGTTTGGACCGTTTAAGGGTTAAATTACTCATCATATTATATTCTTTGAGTGGTTAATTGTACTTTCATTACTATTTGCAGGTATATTATTTGATAATATGGATAACTTGTTAGGTAGAAGTTAATATTTTTAGTTACATATGATTATTATTTCTGTAACATTCAGGAACATGAGTGCTGTCAACTCAGCCAACCCGTTGGTAAACCCATGGGCAACTGGTGTAATTCCACCAGGAGGCGGCGGGAGTGGGAACTTTGGTGGGGGCTTCATGCCACCTCCTGGAGGATCTGGTTCAAGTCTCTTGGGAGAGTACAGAGGAGGAGGAACTGCAGACCTGGTTGGATCTATCAGACACCTCAGTCAGATGGACAATCCTGAGTCTAAGCTTGCATTAAATATCCTGAATACAGTACTATCGACG